TCTCCTCCTGGAGTAAAGAGAGAGAATTATACTCACAGAAATTAACGCACACGTCCTTGAATTATTTTAAACAAACACTGACGATACACCGGTTAAAACTACAAGAGACTCGCCGCCTACCAGAAAACAACACGAATTATGAACCGAATGACAACAACTCAATTCTAACATCTGCAAAAATTTGCAGACACGCGGAACACTTTGGTTCCAAACCCAAACACGAAAACCTTTCAATAGCACTGCACAGGCGACTTGAACGACACAAACAAATGAACGAGCGCCACTGCGACACAGCACTGGCACCTACTATCGGCGACGCGTAACTATCGCAGCATTTAAGCAGCTCTACTATTCACTACTACTACTGAGCAAATAAGCAATAGGCTACTAACTTCTAGATTGGACTTCATTAGATAGTCGAGACCGACCTCTCCTACTTCTCCTTCGACACTCGCATCATCCTCATCTTCCTCATCGATGTTGACTTCATCATCATCGTCATCGTCATCATCGTCGTCGTCGTCTTCATCAAGATCTGCAAAGGAAAACAAGGGATTTATTACCAAATCATTGCTTAAAAATGAAAGTCTGGAAAACAAAAGATCTATAAAGGGAAAAGGGAAATATTAACGACCTGTTCATCTGGAACTCTCGATGCTGACCCACCCCAAAATGAAAGCAAACGTGCCCCCCATGGGTCACCTGTGATTATGATCGACCTATCATGGGATGGTCCATGACTAACATCAAGCAGTGAGTCACGTATTCCCAGCAGGATCAACAATTCCTGGTCCACCCAAGCCCACACACCCCCACCTCGACAAGTGCACAACACTTGTACGACATGAGCGCGTGCGTACAGCAAAACACAAGAGCATCTCGTTCCCCCCAAAAAAACCAATGTAACGTACTCAGTGAATGCAAAATTAACAACATCACAAACTCAAGGTTTGCTCGGAACAATTTTCGAGCTTGATCATCAGAGCGACATTCAAATAAAACAAAATTACACGCTAAAGTTATAGGAACGCAATGACTTACCAGAGTCCCCAAGCTCCTCATCTTCTCCATCTTGATCATCATCGTCGACACCATTCCCTACAGTAATAGATAATAATAATAATAATAATAATAATAATACAGAACAACCATCTTCCCTTCTTACTACTAATATCTCCTTCTGCTATAAGCACTATTCTACTTAGTGCACACATTGCGTAAATAAAGCGGTCCTGAAAATTTTACGGATAAATGCATCTCACATAGAGACATTTTATAACTGATAATACATCGAATTCAAATTCTGCCCAAAGCAACGACGTTTTAGTTGTCCCATATAAACAGTGAACAATAGAAACACACCTTTCACATGCTTTGCAGTGCAAGCGACAGATGTTGCTTGCCTGCTGTTTTTGACTAGTTATTATATTTAGCAGCCACAGTAAATTAATAATAAGGTTCTATGATAGCTCCACTACATGAGTAATACAATAAAACCATAACAATGTGTCACATTTTAACATTGAGCACTCTAGATGCTCACTTGGCTACTGAAACTCAAAAAACAATTATTTAATAAATAGCTTCTATTAACAGGGAAAAAATTAAAATGTATTTTTCGGGGGCTACTTTTCAAGCTCGCGTGCATGAAAATAGCACACTAAAATTTGGTTTGCATTGAACTCTATGCAAATTTACGAGGGCTCTTTTTGGCATTTCCGGGGCTCTTTTTGGAATTTCGGGGGCTAAATCGCCCCGAGCCCCCGTGTATTTTTTTCACTGCTTCTATATATATATATCCTCTATTCAAATTTCGGTTGCGGAAACGACGAACCATTGATCACCGTAGCGACGGAACATCAAACTCACCTTCTTCCTCGTCCTCAGCTTCGGAATCCTCTGCTTCCTTCTCGTCCTTGTCGTACCCATCCAGGTACTTCAAACTTGGGATCAACTCAAACACCTGAAAATTGTCATGCACAGCTGTGCTAACTACTCTCACCAAATGTAGGCGATGGCGGAAATATCATAAACTAGTGCGTTCCATCAAATCAGAACACGCTCACTGCTTTTTCCACTACACAGCAAAGGATTTGTTTAAGGAAATGAGACTGAAGTTTAAATGAAAGTGTCAATGACACTGTAGCTCACCTTGGGTGTGATAGAAGAGGGAGGGGGGATATATAAAGCAAGAGTATATATGGAAGAACTTACATTATATACTCTTGATAATGATATATGCATAAGTTTTGATGCGAAAATAAATCTTTAAGATCTGAAAGTCTGAAATCTTGACGAGAGATGGCGCTACGCCTAAATGATCGCCATTTTGGTTTTCGAATATCGCGCAAATAAAAACAATAAAATATTCCAGTCAAATTTTGTGTAACGAAGAATCTAAAACACAATATTACACGTATAGGTATTGTAGGATATATATAGGTATATAGGAGTTGTTTACCAGTTAGACAAACTAAACGTAATAGGACGTTGTCATCTCTTCCATAGGAGTAACAACTGTTTTGGGGCTAGCCTTACACATTCACATACCAAAATTTAACAAAATCGAATGAATTTAGATGGCCATTTTCATTTTTGCCAAAAAGTTGGCAAAAAACAGCCTGTATAAACCAAAAAAGAATATTCACAACAAGTTTCCTCAGTGATTGTGAGTATAACTATGACATATATAAAGACTTACCTTTTGCCTATAATTTTCAATATTGGTAACTTCACAGTTGAAGAGATCCAGGCTTTTCAAGTTGTGATAATCTTTCTGTAAAAACCAAACAACAAATAGGTTCAATAAATTGTCAATAACCTTGTAGGATGCACGTGAAACTAGATAGGAATAACAATGATAACGACAAATTAACAACTCTACACAGAGTAACGATACACGACCACGACAAAATCACATCAGTGGACACCGTACAACTGACGAGGACACAATAACGTCGCCGTCGGCGATTGGAATAGACAACTTACGAGTGGTTCTAGCGTTTCCAAATCTTTGATTTTGTTTCCGCTGAGAGTGAGCTGCTGAAGCTTGGGAGAGCCAGCTAACAACTGCAGGCCACCAGAAATCCTGTTGTCAGAGAGTTCCAGCTGCCAAACAAAAAATAGCGGAAAATCATAAAATGCAGGAATTCAAGTCTAATTTGCATTGTTTTAGGGCAAGACAAACGTCGACATTGGGTTCGATCAGACAATTCGAGGCACCGAGGCAAATGCTATTAGATGCCAAGGCAGATTGGAAAGGTACCGAAGCACCTTACTCTTCATCAATACTCCATTTAAGACATGAAGGATTACATACACGACACACAAAGCAGGTAAGAAAATTGCGATGGACATCAGATTTTCAGAGCAGTACATCAAGTAATCATCGGGCGACCACGGCAGTTGCCACCAGTACAATGGTAATATCAGAGCTGCGAAAACAGTACGTACACCAGGCAGCTTTATGTAAATAGTTTCGCATGTGATAGCTCGTGTGTATAAAATGCCCTCCCACTGCTAACTAGAAATGCTTCTCTCCTACGCAGCCTAACTTAATCGCAATTTCATTTTGATTCCACGATACGCCGTTCAAGCGGTTGAAAAATAGTTTACATTTTGCAAATTCTAATTTAACCAATCGTCTTTGGGGAAAACAGCTTCACAATAGAAACGTTACCAAAATCTCCTCCTAGTCGACTATCCATCAACAATTAGCATAACGGCATGTACGGCAACTCGTTTCACACATATTCGCTTCAAATTTGGCATCCGGTGTGAGCCGATAATTTACAGGGGAAATATCTTCACAATAGAACTCCTCTAAAATCTGCCTCCGCCCACACGTTCGCCAACAACCATCACGAGACCGTCACGTTCGCGCGACGCGTCACAACACATGCCCACTTCAGGTTGGGCAACTTTTGCATGCCAATAGTCTATAGGGTAATATCTTCACAATAGAACTCCTCTCAAATCTGCCGCTGCGTAGAATCCTCAATCTGCGCGTTAACACGTACCCGCTTCAGGTTGGGCAACTTTTGAAAGTTCTTCAGGCTGGTGAGTCCGACGTTGATCATGCTCAGCGACTCCAGGTTGACAAACTCGTCGGTCAGCCCCTCGATCGTAGTGCTCCGACTGTTGTCCAGGTTCAACTCCCTTATCTGCAAAAATTCGGACAATAAAAGTATACAAATTAAAATTAATCACTCACTATCGACTAATTACTATCGACACTCGGGCCTTTAGCGCATGCCGGGTGATTAAACATTTCTTCAAAGCCGAAGCTGACTTGCGACATCCAATGAATCCTTCGGCATCACTTAATTGCCTAATTGACATGCCTTAATTATTATTCAGCCGTGTTTACTTGTGACAATACCGCCGCAGTCCTGCCGTTCTCACAGCTTGATATATACATCGCTGTTCAAACTGATAATTTACCTGTATATATTAGGGTTGGTTATTGCACACGTAATTGACTCCTAATTGGTACAACCCCCTCCCAGGCCCTCGCCTATTCGGCAATAATGCCTTCTGAAATGTCTAGGGAGTGGCTTGATGTTAATGATTAGTCTCCTATATCACTGATGACAAGCATGGCAATATTATCTGTCCAATAATAATGTAATATAACATTTGTACGCAGGTATATATACTCTAGAGTTTCATGATCGATGACTCCACTTAATTGCCAGCATTAATTTTAAAATGCACATAGTTTACAATCAGTGACATGCACTGATTATATATATACGTGAAGACAAAGACCAGTGGTCTGATACCTCAGACATCTGAGAACGTTGAGTGAATTAGTCAGGATGGATATTTACAAGACTTGTTTTTAAGTGATTAATAAGCACCACAAATTATGTGGCATAAAAATTAATGTGTATATCGTAGCGTGGTGGGGGGAGGGGGGGTTAACATTCAACTCGAATTTTAAACGTATGTAATCTCTTTTTAAACAAACTCGTAACTACTTACGTAGACCATACAATATGTTCATTCAGAGAAATTACTGCAGTGTAAAGTGAAAGAATAACAGAAACAATCTTTTATTTCTTATAAACAGATCACACCAACACACTTGCAATTTTTAATTACAACTTAATTTATGAATATTAAACTAAAGAAAATGATTAAATCTTTGTGATAACACGTTGGTAACCGTTAGTCTTACGGGCCATTCGTTTACAGCAATTCATACAACAGACACGAAAAAAACGAGAGATAAGACAGATAAATGGGAGTCGTAAGTAGCCCGGGGGGGAGGGGGGGGGAATCACGTACGTTACATATTCGCGCCCACGTTTAAATATAGCGCTTCAGCCGTTGATCACATGACCATCGCGACATAAACAGCGTTATCACACGTGATTCCGAGAGAAGTTACGTCCCGCCAAAAAAACCGTCCACCGCCGTCAAACACTACCTACACCTCCCTCGCGATTCACTATTACCCGCCGCCCCCACAAAACGCGTAAATAAACTTGCGCGGGCATCTTTCGGAAAAAATTCCGCGGGGGAAAATCGACAGCCGTAGCCCGCTCGCTGCCACTAGCCGCCGCGCCATGACAGACGCGGCCACAGCGCGAATACAGCAGACAACACAACGGCCATCGATCCGGGAACACGCCTAAAGAGCTCGCATTGATGTGCTCACTTTTCCACGCCGATCTATCCCCGATGCACGTCGTTGGGCGGTAAGTAGACATCGCGGTTCGACAGTGTACGACGCAGTTCTTAGTCTCGCGTATTTTTTGACGCGAATTTCGCACGCACAAGTCGGTGAAACGCGCGAAATTTTCGCGAAAATTCGAGCGAAAATATGGCGGCTGTGCGAATGGCGCGGTGGCCATATCACAGGCGCAGCAGCAGCAGCGGCAGCGCGCGCTATGCTTGCGTGGCGAGCTATTTTTAGCACGCCTGTCTATGTCTGATGCTGGTGGCGAGGCTAGGGAACGCATGTATGATGTACGTACGTACATGTATACATGTGGAGAAAGGGTACGAGTGAGTGTACATACCGTACGTGTGGGGGCCAAAGCTATCTTAGCGCCGGTGTGATTTTTAGATTAATAGTGCAATCGTAACTTACACGATACACGGATGATATAACATAACCGAGTATTTTTCTGTCAATTTGATCTAAAATATAAATTTATGGAAGATAATACGTAATATTTTGAAATAAAGTATACAGAAATATTCGGATAAATATACTGAGATTGCAAGCTAGAATGAACTCACTACCACAGATTGGTACCCATAACTTAATGTATTATGTGATTTTCAATAATCTCAACATGTATGCATAGGCACTGGAAAGGGGAAAAAAATGATAACAATTTTAATGGATACTATGTAGCAGTTCATAAACATTATTCACCACACATTGAATGTCAAAAAAAAATATGCATCTTGGTTGTTGTATTCAAATGATTCATTTTCATCGCAAAATGATCTAGGGTATGCCATCATACAATATCTATACACTGTACCAACATTATTAAATTTTATGAACATGTAGGGGGTTTGAGAGGGGTGGAGTGGTTTGGAGGGTTTCATGGATAAGGTGGGCATGATGGTATGATGGGTTCAGTGATAGAGAGGTTTGAGGGGCTGAGAGAAGGGGTGGTTAGATGAGCACAGGGATATCTGGAATCAAGGGTTTCAGGGATAGGAGCGGTTGGGGTGAGGGGTGGAGAGATGGAGGGGTTTAGGGATGTGGGTGGTTTGATTGCTTAGGGATTGAAAGTTTTTGAGGGGTTTAGAGATGAGGATGATTTGAGGGCTTAGGGTTTGAAAAGGTTTGATGGGGTGCAAGGGTGGGGAAGGTTTGCGGGTTGAAGGTGGTAGTAGTGTGTGGGGGAGGGGGCATAAATGAACCTTTGATGTATTTTACCTGAAAAGTGAAGCATTTACTTATCAACATAAGTTTGTTTCTATCATAGCATCATAGCTGAGGCTTTAATACAAACCTATTTTAGATCTGTACAGAAAGGGAATGTCCAGTGAAACATGGCTAAACTAGGAGAAAATCTAGAATGAACATGCTCAATCTATTATATATAGATTGGTAGATGACTCATGCTAATAAGGGTGCCTTGTGTTACACTATTTCTCATACGATTCCCAATTTTAGTAGCAAATATCACCAACACTCAACAACTTTTATCAAAAAAACAAACTAGCCAAAAATAATCTTTAAATGTGTCATAAAATACGACGACACCGAAATGATTTGCGGGTAAGTGGCATTCGAGATAGTCGTAATCGTTGTCGCTAAATGGAACCAGCTCGAAATAACACATTAGCTAGAGTCGGATGCACTGCGAGTTGCCGTAACCACGCAAGCGCCGCATTCAATATGGCAACGGTGCTGCTGCCTTGCTGCTGTGCTAAGCTACTCTCACTGAGTAACCCTACTGTCTGTGCTGACAAGCACTCTCGCTGCTAGGACTGCTGCAGCACGCCGCACAAGCGAATTCCGTCGCCGCAACCTATAAGTCCTCGTGTTTGACCCGACCGGCCAATTTTACACGCGATAGAAGGTGTCTCCATCTCGTTCGTGTGACAAATGTTGGCATTCATAGAAAAATCTTAGAGTGGCTATGCATTTTGAGGTCCCTTGCAGACAAATGGCGGGTTCTGGCGTACTACGGACTTTTCGCCACGCGACCGAATGGCATTCACCGACATATCCTCAGTTTTACATATGAAGTTCGCGATAAAATCACGGGATAAAGTATGCAATGTAAAGTAGATGCCATGAAGTCAATACTAGTTATAAATTCCAATGTCTCCGAAGCTTATATAAAAAGTTACGATCATAATCCTGTCTTGGTACCTGGACAGCCATTCGCACTCGTCACTAAAACGTGTACATCGAACTCATGTAGCTAGGTTTTGAGCTTACTAAAACATACTGGAACTGTTAGCAGTACTAGAGTAAATCGTGAATGTACACAGGAAGGTGTGAACCTAAAAAATAGTTTGTGAAAGTAAGACTTATGAAGAGGCACAATCCATATCAACACAACATGCCGACTTTCTATCTTTTCAATATTGTGGCGCTTTCCCACAAACAAATTTCTCGTTGCAGTTACGGCATATGAAAGCAACCGATGTTAGTTCAATAAGTAACGACTACGTACCTGCTCTGGCTTCCTTCCTCTCTTCTCTAACTGGATACGTTTTTCCATCTCGAGCTCCGGTACGATAGATGCACAGCAAAGCAGTAAAACACAGTCCTATGCTGCCAACGATCAAGTTGATAATGGTTTAAGTCGGCCACAACGCGCGGAAAGGCTATACGCCGCGGAGGGTAGGCTTGTATTGATCAATTGCGCATACCCCTTCGCCGGCAGTGTGTAGCGCGGCGCCGCAGTGGCAACATACAGTCGCTCGGCATACATACATCTTTGCAGGCTGAGAGGCAGCAGCAAGCAGTACGGGGTGAATGCTTGCTTTAGTGGGGATGCTAGTGAGTCGTGCTGCTACATTAGAAACGCAGTGTATCACACATATATATATCACGACACATATTTTATTTGTGATTAGAACAGCGAGCGTCGTGAGATATAACTTTGTGTAGCGGTGCGTACGTCAGCATGCATGTGATATTTAGTATATTTAAGTTTGAAATAAATTTATAATTATACCAGTCCCTGTGGCGTGAAATTATTAATATTACGATGAGCAAGTATGTGCATTACCGAATTTAATGACGGTAGTTATATCGATAAAATTAAATGCCTTATAGTATATATAACAATTATATTAAATTTTTTAACTTTTATTGTAATTAGTTAATATATTCTATAACATGCTATATGTAGTATGCGATGTGGTTAAAGTCCTTTCGTTACCTTTTATTCCATTGCCTAGTAATTGTTTTGTTTAACACTTTTTATTGAGAATGACTATATATATTCATATATATTTCTACTTATTTTACTTTATTTACTATTTATATTTTTCATTTCACGGCTCGAGCACTGGAACCAGATTGCGTTCTTAGTATCTCAAAATTCTGTATTCCAATCTTAAAGTTCCAGATGTGTGGTACAGTAATGTTTTTATTTTTTTATTTTAATAATTTTTTACTATTCATATATAGCTTAATTTATATGTGGCTTTGGCACTAGAGCCACATTGCAGAGTAGGCTCCATGAATGATAAACCCCACAGGTTTTCTAATTACACAGAGGATGTGGAAAGCTGCTGTTCGTGTGTGCATAATTACTTGATTGCAGTCAATAAAAGTGATGTTTTCTTAATGGTGAACTATAGCTGTAGCAGTTCCCCCACAGTACATGTATAGCTGGTTATAGCTTTGCCAGCGATTCGGCGATGATGCTAGCTGTTGTTGCTGTCACTATAATTAGTTGGATACGGGTTGTCAGGAGCCCTGTGTATGCTATACCACCTGCCGCAGCGTGTATACCTTGCTATCTTCTCCGGGCGAACGCTGGTATCCCCGCACCGCATGATGCAGCAAAAGTCGCTATCTCTTACAGTGCCACACTATATATATATAACACTATAGAATAGTCTACACGCCTATATGGCGCTATAGCTGTTACATATTATAGCGCTATATGTAACATATAGCGTATATTATGTATACAGGGTGCGAAATTAACGGGAGTCCGGAGTCAAATACTCCCTGATTTACTCTCGGACTCCCTGATTTGACATATGCAGGAGTCCGTGTGACTCCCTGAAAATTCTGCTATACTATAACTAGTTCGTTCCAGAGTAGGCCTACGGCCTTGTGGAAATGCCG